TTTGACACCAGAACTGGACTCGAACCTGCAGCTTCAGGATTACTGACCATCGAGCTACCGCAGCCCATCTGGATTCAATGCGTAACGCTGGAATATTATGTTCTGACTGTCAGCCCACCTCCACACCTCTCCCTTTTTCCCTTTGAACACCTCAAGTGGAGGATGGAGCCAGCGATGCAGGATGTGCGTGGGCAACTGTGTGGGCAGTAACTGTGATTTGAATCCTGCGTTTTCACGTGCAAGAACTCTGTCATATGGCAGAAAAGAGAGGGATGAGTGGGCAGAATAATGACTAAAAGAGAGGGGGGAAAATAACCCTGCTAAGCAAAAACAAAATCATTTTCACTAACGCAGTGAAAATGTCAGAAAACATGGAGATTCTGTGCAGAGTTATGACACACGTCAGACATCGTCAGCATCAGACTCTTCTGCTTACTGACCTCGTTAGGCTGCCGTAGACTTCAAGTTGCTTATTCTTTAAATTCTTAGTCTTTACACAAACTGCTGAGTTATACTGGATGCTCAGCTAAAACGCCCTGAAGCAGAATTTAATGACATTAAATGGAGCAGCTCACAGTTGCAACTGCAGATAGGTGCGCAGTCTGTTGCTCTTTAACAAACAAGCCTAAAAGCAGTGATATAAATTAAATTTGTTAAACCCCTTTAGATCCGCAGATCAAGCTTTGTAAGGTTTTAAAGAGAGATTCTATTTTAATGATTTCATTTGTTTTGAGCTTTTTGCTAAAACTCACTACACCTCAACACCTTTTGCGCTGCTCAAGGTGGCTGCATGTTGGAGTAGTTCTGTTACATTCATTCTGAGTTATTGCTTTTGGGAACTTTAATTCTTCTTTTTCTGGATGTAAATCGCTTTTTTCAGATGATTATTTCCTCTGGTATCGGATGCTGTGCAGCTGGAAGGATTTTAACTGAAACCTTTTTACTTTTGGGCATTTATTATGATGCGTAACCATGGCAACAAGGTGTTTTTTTTTATTTTTAACAACCAGGGGCAGCTGATTAACATCTCAAAAGCTGAAATACCTCAACTACAGCATCAAATCCCACATGAGTTGAAAAAGAGGCTCTGCAGACAAATTCCTGTCCACCTGACGGCCGAGATTCTGGAACTGCTGGGAAACTCAACTCATGACATCAGGAGGACCTGGATCTTCCCTCGACACCTTCAGCTGTCTGACCGTGGTGACGAGGAGCTCTGCAGACTGCTGGGAGGAGTGGCCATCGCTCAGGGAAGAATTCTGTCCAGCATTCGGGCAGTCCTGCTGCCCAGGAGGACCAAGAGGCCCGCCGGATCTGACAGCAAGCTGGATCTGGGTGGAAGGATGGGTATCTGTGGCCAGATCCTTCAGATTCACTGCAGGAGATCCTTCATTCCCACAGCTATCAGCATCTAACAACTTTTGAATAAAACCAGGATGAAGAGCTACGACAACACTTAATTTCCCTCTGGGATTAATAAAGTATTTTTGAATTGAATTGAATTGAACAGAGAAAACAAGAACAGTCACTTATGAATATGATGCACTTTAGTTTTTATGCTACAGGCTTTAAATGAAGAAGCATTTGTTGTAATGTTCTGTAAATAACAGGGAAACAATACTGACCAGTAAAATATCTATACAGAAGAAGGTGATAATGAAACTGCAAGTTTCATGTCAAACAAAAGTTGCTAGTCAAACAGACTGTAATTAAAACTAAATAAAGACTCAAATACAAGAATTAAAGACTCGACTAAAAGACTGAAATAAAAGAACTAAAGCTTCAAAAGAATTAAAGAGTAAAACAAAATAATTCAAGACTAAGACTAAATAATTTGAGTAAAACTAAAGCATTAAAGACAACTAAAATAATTAAAAACTCAAATAAAATAATTGAAGACTCAAATCAAATAACTAAAGAGTAAAACTAAATAATTAAAGACTCAACTAAAATAATTGGACTGAAATAAAAGAATTAAAGACACAAAAGAATTAAAAAGTAAAATAAAATAATTCAAGACTAAAACTAAAGAATTAAAGAGTAAAATTAAAGAATTAAAGACTCATTTCTTCTATTTACTTTTCATTTGATAAGCTTTTTTATGACTGTCTATACTTCATGTGTTCTTTGTTTAAAACAAGTCTCTCTTGTAAATGAGTCCTCAAAGCTCAATGAGTCTAACCTGTATAAATAAAGATTGAATGAATTGAAAGCAAGGGAAATAGAATGTAGGATAACTGTCAAACTAAACACGAACTAAGGTCAGACAGCATTTTGTACGAGGAAGTCCAATAAAACTAGGAAAAATGTGTAGAATGAGGATGAGGGGGATAAGAAAACTGGATTAAAAGGAATGAATGATGCAACTTTTAGACAAATAAATAAAAAGATAAAAAGATATAAAAAAAGTCAGTTTCACACTCTTCTGTCAGCTCATTTTCACATTCACAAAAAGCTCCTGTCACACATCCACTCGCTAACTTTGTGACCTAATCCTTATTGGACCTGTTTCAAGTGAACCAACTTTTAGATTAAGGTCAAACTGTAACCGTAAGATTCTAAGAAAAAAAAAAAAATATATATATATATATATATATATATATAAACAGTGTCCCCCCCCCCCCCCCCAATCTCTCTGATCTGCTACAGCTGTATGTCCCACCACGCCCCATGAGGTCAGCGGACCAGTTGCTCCTCACAGTTCCAGGATCTCATCTTAAGTGCAGAGGTGACAAGGCCTTCTCTGTAGCAGGACCAAGACTTTGGAACGAGTTACCGTTGCTTGTCAGACAGGCCCCCTCCCTCTCGGTTTGCAAGTCCCATTTAAAAACCCACTACTATTCAGTAGCATTCAACACCAGATGATCTGTGTTTTGAACCTGTATGCTCCACACTGGTTTGTCGTCATTATCTGCATCGTTTTAATGTCTATATTCTGATTTACCTCATTTTGTATTTTGCTTTGTGTGTTACCTGTTGTTTTGTCTGTACAGCACTTTGGTTGGCCTTGTTGCTGTTTTAAGTGCTCTATAAATAAAATGGTATGGTATGGTATATATTTATTAATTAATATATTTAATGTAGTATTAGCCACTACAATTTCTGCATTATAAAGTTCCATCTTTACACACAGATGCACAACATACCCTTCTCCATATTTGGTTTAAAATTACATTACTTTTTTTTTGTTGTTGTTATAGGAGGTCATATACTAAATTAGATTTTTTTCCCTCCTTCACAAAATAAGCCTTTGGACTGTAAACCCAGACAAAACTTAAATAAACTTCTAAATTAGCATAGAAGGGAAATTAAAAGCAGCAAGCATCCTCAAACAGACTGCAGGCACACTGTGAGTTAATTGTCTCTCAGTTGCAATTCACTGAACCAGTAAAGCATGCTATGGAGAATTTGCCCTAAAATAATGAGGGTACCTCATTGTGACACACCAGGCAGCATGCAAAGTCAACTCATCTCCAGTTCTGACAAGCAGACAGAAGCAACAGGAGCTCTGGGAATATAGATCATGCATGCCTCCAAGCTCTCACGGAGACAGAGGCTGGAGGTGAGGCGAGTGACCAAAATCAGTGCTATATTAGCACCAGTGTTTTGACTTAGCAAAATGCTACTGGTAAGGTAGCACTGATTGTTGGAAGCTTAAGTTTGTGCTTCTGCGGTTTAAATAAAAACCACTATTCTAAGCAAACAATGAGACTGATCTAGCCCTGGAACCAGTTTGGTGGAAAACCACTAATTATTATGCATCTGCAGGGGAACACCTCACCTCAAACAAACATCATTCCTGTGTTTTGTGTTTGAAACTGTTAAAATAAGATTCTTATATTCCATGGGGAATGGAGATGAACCAATCATCTCTGTTTTAACACAGAGTTAAGTTTCACTTTTAAGAAAAACTCCCAAACCTTCACACTTCACAGAGAACTGAGAGAAGAAGCACCTTCAGCAGACGACTTCTGAGCAAACTTCATACTTCCTAGAGAGACATCCTAGGAAGAAAAGAGAGAGAAGAAGCACCCTTCTGCAGATGTCTCAAGACGAGACGGAAAGATAAAGAACGGAGCATTTAAACGTCACAAGAACCCAGGCTCCGAGAGCTGCCTAACAGGCAACCAGAATCACACTGCAGAAGAGTGGTAAATCCCAGCTGACTGCCAGGATCAGTAACCATGGACTACGTCCCTCCAACCGATGACAGGTGAACTTTGAGGAAACTTTAGCCTCTCAGTCACCGGAACATCTGAGGCTTTGCTGGTACCATTTAGCAACTGTCAGAACCATTCCTGACCTACTGTATCTACATCCTGGTAGGAGAGACTTCTCAATGCCTTTCTGGTGACCCTCCATCACAATAAACTTATCAGACAAACTTAGCTCACCTTAGGTACAATTTTAACCGCTTCACAAACAGAAACCAATCCTAAGTCTGCCTTTTAAGTTCCACTAATTTTACTCATCAATTAGACCTTTGATTCAAAGCCATTTGATGTTCAGTTAACTTTGTCATGCACAATTTTCACCATAAATATAGCAGATCATTATTTTTATAATAATCAACTGAATTTGTGATTATTTTGGCATATCTGTGTGTATTAAATGATTTGATATTCTTTAAACACGAGAAAAGAACTCACGTTCAATTTACATTACTTTGGGTTAAATGGAGACTGATTTTTCCTCTCCAAGAGAGAGGTGGTGCCCAAGCAACGAGGTTATTTGCATAATACATGCATATCTTATGAGCTTAACTCATAGCTGATAATAAAACATATATTTACACCCCATATCACTACACATCATTGCATGAAAAAATGTGTCAGTGCAGTACAATATCCTGCTTTTAGACCAAATAGCTTTAAACTATCAATCAAATTGAATAGCCTTAAATGCATTAAATTCTGCTCCTTGTAATATCCAAAGAAGATCAAGAATATACCCAATTACATTTTGGTGTCAGAAAAGTAATTTTAAAAACTGCTGCTCACCATTTGCAGAGGTCTCTTTCGCAGGTCTCTCTCCATAACCAATCTCTCCTGGTCAGTGACGTAGAGTCCACGCTGGGCCAGAGCTTGGATGACGGCATTGTGACCCAGCAGTGGCTTGGCAGCATCTCTCTTCAGAATGAGGCTGCCGGCCCGGCAGTACAGGTCAGCTGACAGCAGGAGGCTGGCCACGGGGGGCTTCAGGTGTTCTTGCTCATACTGGTCAGTGTAAAAAGGGTCCTTTAAGTCATCAGGGATGCTGTCTGAGAAACAAAAGAAAGACATACAAGTTTAAGCAAAAACAAAACAAAAAATTATTGTCACTAAAGTACACTCGAATAAAAAAAAAAAAATCTGTTATAAAAAGCAATAAAGCTCATTTTAATGTTTTACACCAAGTCTGTGCTTTTCCTTTGACAGAACCACTTCCTTTCATTGCCATGATTAGACAATATCTTCACATAGATACTGTACGTGTGGATAGATCTCAGTGTTGCTATAGCAACTGCAGGAGGAGAGGAACCTGATCGATTCATCTTGCCCTTATCTCTGAAGCATCTAAATCTCAGGGAACACCCTTCTCATCAAAGCGTGCAACACACACATAAGTGTGTGTTGATCACTTGGAAAAGTCCACTATAGTAAAATAGTATACAAATAATTCAGAATCCTCGTGTTTGTGGTTTGTTTCACACTGTGCCTGTCTGACAAGTCTGCATTTTTACTTAACATAAAAACTGAATTTTTGCTTGTTGCAATACAGGTTATCCAAGTCTTTTTTTTAAATAATAAGCAAATATATATACATATATATTTATACATGACATTTCAGCAGTAGGGTAACTCAGGGTGCTTTACATAAACATTTAAAAACATTGTGACTGTTGGAGCCTACATGCAGTTTATAATGGTTAACAGATGTAACTGTATAGTTCTGAGTTCATAGGTGATAAAATGAGATTTATTTATAATGATAAAGGTTTAGGTGTGACATTTAGTTTATTTTTGTAATACAAAAGCAATTAAAATGTAAGATTTAGTAGAGATTTTGAGTTATATTATTATCCAGTAGCAGTGTAAAATTGGGTGTTTTGATGATGATTGGGTGGGTGTGGTTTATTGGCAGGCAATTGGACTGTCAGCAGTCAGGTGGTGGAGAGTGGAGCCACAGTTTTTTTTTAAACTCTTCCTCTATGTCTCTCTTGTTCCGTTTCTTTAATTTTGTACAAGTTTAGATTTTTGCAACAGAAGTAAAGTGTTCGACTTCACTAAGTACGAAATGGAATATTTTGTGCATGGTGTTAAGAGATGAGGACACACCACAAAGCGTCAAAATAGTGGCTTCAATCCATGGAAACCTACAGTGACAATATGCAAGAGAACAATTAAAGCACAAAGGAAGGACAAATTATAAATTACAGACGCTCATAACAAGAACATATTTTTTGAAAAATAAAGGATGAACAATCTGGCAGTTTTCTGGAAGTTTGCTCCACATGTTGCATGTAAAAGCTGAATGCAGCTTCTGCCTGTTTGTTTCTGACTCCAAGGACAGAGAAAATATTTAAACCAGACAACCTCAGAGGTCTCAGTGGTTCATAGTGCAGCAGAAAATCAGAGATGAATTTTGGACCCAGCCCATGTTGAGCTTTGTAAACAAGCAATGACATTTTAAAATCAATTCTCTGAGCAAAAAGGAAGACGGTGCAAAGACCTCATAACTGGACTGATGTGATCAACTCTCTTGGTCTTTGAGCAGCAGCGATCTGGATCAGCAGCAGCTGTCTGACTAATATTTTTTAGGAAGACAATAAGTAAGCTCCCTTACAATAGTCAAGTTGGCTAAAGATAAAAGCATAGACAAGTTTTTCAAAGCCATTCTGAGACACTAGTCCTTTAATTCTAGCTATATTCTTCAGGTGGATAAAGGCTGTCATCGGAATGGTCTTAATGTGGCTGTTCTGACTCAGGTCAGAGTTCATGATCACACCAAGGTTTCAGGTTCTGCTAGAGCTTTTTAGCATCACAGAGTGCAGGTGTGTGCTAACTTTTAATCTTTTCTCTTTAGCTTCAAAAAGTACTTCAGTTTTACCTTTCTTGAGCTGAAGAAAGTTCTGACACATTCAGTGGTTGATTTGTTCAATGCACTCAGTTAGTGCTTGTATTGGACTGTAGTCCCCAGGTGAGACAGTGACATAGATCTGTGTGTCATCTGCATAGTTATAACACTGCATCTTCTTGTTTTCTAATATTTGAGCTAGAGAAAACGTGCAGACGTTAAACAGGAGATGCCCAAGGATGGAACCTTGAGGAACTCCACATGTAACTTCATTCAGCTCATATTTGTAAGATTAAATTCATCTGCACAGACTCAAGCCAGCCATTGTTCAGGATGGTATACATGTTTTTTCTCTGAGTAGAGGAATCATACATTTGTGGACAGAAATGAAACTTTTGGTCTCTTCTCCTTCATCTGTCACAGGGGTGTCAGCGATTTACATTTGTTCAGAAGCTATACAGAAACTGTATTCCACTTCTTATTTATCTGTAAATATTTTTTTTATTTTTTTTTACTATGTCGAGAAGGAAATTTTGTGCTCATAAACCAGTGCATTAAAATTGTATCAGTGTTTGCTGTGTTGTAGTATTCAAACTGAGTGGATTATCCACTACTAAACCTGACTGCATATTTTCCATGCACTCCTGTATTACTGTAATGACACTAGATACATGTGAAGAAGTCAGAGCAGCGTAGGCAGCAACCTGGAGATGAGCCTGCTCGCTCTCGCCTATTTCCCTCCCTCCCACTCCCTCTGGAAGACTATATTTTTGGAATCAACCCATTTCATTCAGATCTCATTGAAAACACACAGAAGGTCTGCAAGGAATCTCATGTTTGCTGGGCTGTTACAAAGCAGTGGCAAGGGAGGATGCATTCAAACAAAATGTGCTGTGTTGAAAGGAACAGAAGAATTTAGAATCTGTCCTATAAAATGAACCCCAGCTCTTCACTGATTAGAAAGAAGAAAAAGGGCAATGAATCAGACATTTAGCTCCTTCTCTTTGTGTTTGCTTCATTAGATTTGCTGTTAATGAATGGACAAGCCTTATGAGGGGTTACACTGTGTGAAGCAGTGCTACTACAATGAAAACCTCAATCTTTTTATACATTACTTGGTGCAGCATCTCAATATAAAATTCAATAGCGAGGCCTACAGGAAGTATGTTTTGTACTGATCATCATTCTGCATTCTCAATCCCTTCAAATGTTTAATTGCAAATGTGTCTTTTCCAGCGTAATCATAAAATATAGGCAGAAAAATGACCATCCTGATTAGATTTTTTTCACCCACCGTAAAAATGATACATACTTGTCATCCAGTGTTCAACCCTATGGAATACACTTATGGTGGATCTTGTTCTCACATAATCTCAGCAGAACACAGACATGTTTGAATCTATTTGAGGAAGCCTTGATTATTTTACCCAGGCATATATACAGACGTTTTTTGGACATATGTTTGCAAATCATCAGTTTCAAATATATGAAAATCTGTCTAATTACAGTATATATATATATATATATATATATATATATATATATCAGTCTGCAGTCCTGTGTGGGGTTATGGAGATTGCATTGCGTTATTAAACAGAACTAATCTGTACATGTGTTTTTGACTGATCACAATAAAGACAAAGAATTAAGAAAAGCACCTTGTTGTTATCACCTACCTGTCCCGTATGCTTTGGCTACAAGCCACCTGATGCTGCAACATATTTTGGCTCGGGAAAAGTCATAATGCTCAAAAGACTTTATTGCTGGAGCAACGAAGGTCTTCCTCGCATCCCTCTCGTCCTGAACTTCGCCCATTATTTCTGCTGGGTTGCTCAGTTCAGCCTTACGGAGCGCAACAAAGCTGCAAACACATCCCACTTCTGGAATAAGCAATACAATAAAATAAAAATGAGCAGATGTTGAATATTTGTAGCCTCTTTAAGTCATAAAAACACCAGGCTGGCCGTGTTTTTGTCTCGTTGACGCAATAGTTCGCTCTTGATGTCTTCCATGCATACCAGTTTGAAATGAGCTCCTCCGTCAGACCAAGGTAGGGTTTGGTTTCAGAAGAAAAAAACTGTTCTTGGATTGGAGTAAAAATATAAACGTTTCCATTATTTATGCAGTTTTGAAGTGGACAGCTTGTCTTTGTGCGCCTGCATAACACAATAAAAAAATAGCCAAGATGTTGTTTTCTTTTATCTCTTCGGTCCTTGGGAGCCCTCTGGTGCGGTAGTCCTGCCGCACTAAGGTCTATATGGCGCTACACCTTTTTGAGCAATGCGCATGCGCAGACATGTCTTCACAGGCAGTCTTGCTCACCGACATCCTTCTGTAGTTTTTATTTTTATCTATATATATACAGTAGTTACTGGACTGATCAATGCTTATTTATATTAAAATAATTTATGTCTAGATCTTGTTTTGGTATCATACAACACGATTTTGTTTAAGTGGTATTTTAGTTATATATTCTAGAAATTATAGGAATACCACATTTATCATAATAAACAGAAAAAAAAAAATCGTTTTACAATCTATGCATGTCCCGACGACATGTATAAGGTTAATAGTAACTATCGTTACAATCATAATTTGTGATATTTACTCTACATAAATTAAAGCATTGATTATAATTCTTGGTTCAAAGCGTCGTATTTGGTTTTACGCACACGCAAAGAAGCATGGGATGTTACATGAGACACAAGGCATTTGTTGGCAAATTCATAGCATTATAATTAATTAGACAATACAATTATATAATTTAATTATATTAAACCATATATTTGAAGCCGTTAAATTAAGTAAACCAAAACATGAATAAGAATAACAGATTTTCTGAGTATGACCGACAAAACAAAATCAATAGTCGTCATTTTAAACTACATTTCCCTCCATTAAAACAGTACTTACGTCATCACTACGCGTCGGTTGTTGCTTGAGCTGCTGAAGAGTTGACGCTACTCGAGAGGTTTGTGTTATTTTGTCATTTTATCTGAAACATTTAGAAATGTTTCTACATTTTTTAAACATTTATGAGTTGCGGATGGATAATTGGTTTATTGAAAGCTGTGCTTTACTGAAAATAATTCTGATTTTTGCAGTTTAGCTATCAATTGTTGAGCCTAAACATTAGTAATTGTTGAATTCTTGTCCTCTGTAAAGCTATATTTATATGTCCTCCATTTCTCGTCATGAACCTTATCACTTCTGCTTTTTTTTTTTTTTTTTATATTTTCAGGTTACTTTAAACATGTTTTTGCCAAGAGCCCTGAAAGTAAAGAGACCTGCCCAGGGACCAAGTCACGAATTGAACAAGAAAAGCAAAGCTGTTCAAGAGGATTCTGACAATAGCAGTACACAGGCACTTGCACAAAGTGAAGAAGCACGTGTAGACACAAAATACCAGGATGAAACAGATGTGTGTTTGTCAGACGATGGATCCAAGTCTTCCTCAGATGATGTGGAAGAGGAGGAACCTGTTAAATCTTTCAGAAAGAGCCAGAGATGGCCTGAGCCAGGAGAGCCAGTCTGTGTGATGTGCGGTCGCTATGGAGAGTACATTTGTGATGCTACAGATAATGATGTTTGTAGCCTTGAATGCAAAGCCAGTCATTTACTAAAAATGGGAAAAGGAACTGGGGCAGATGCATTTAATTTTAAGGATGAAACAGCTGACAAAAGGACTCATCAGCCTCAGCATCCAAGTGTTAACACTGATGGGTTAGGTGTAAATGAACTATGCTATTTCTACAGAGAAGACCCATTCATCTCAGGCCTGACAGATGAGCAGGTGGAGCGGATAAAACAGGAACTTGGCATCAAAACAGAAGGAAAAGGTGTCAGGAGACCTATTATTGAGTTTGAACACTGTGGCTTCCCTTCCACGTTAAATGGCAACCTGAAAAAGGCTAGGTACGAAGCACCCACACCGGTCCAAATGCAGATGGTGCCAGTTGGGCTCACAGGCATGGACGTAATTGCCAGCGCTGACACGGGATCAGGGAAGACTGTAGCCTTTCTCCTGCCTGTGGTAGTGAGGGCACTTGAGGTACAGTAATGCAGCTACTATTATTTTAATTGAGTTAATATTATTTGTTCAGTTAAAATACATCTAGTGAAACTGCTTACTAATACCAGGAAAAAAAGGCATGGACTCCTATGGAATTTAAACAAATACAAGGTTAGACTTAAATAATTATTAAACTATGAAGATATTTTTTATCAACAAGAATCAGTGATTGGCAATATTAACCTAAAAAAAAAAGAATCCCCACGTTTGGGATAGACAGTTATAAGACAATTCCCATCAAATATTAGTTGCAGGACTTTTTGAAAATGTTGAATTCTTGTAGAAGCTAATCACTTCTATCTGCTTGTATGTCATGTCATTTTTCCTTCTCCCCATATTCAGAGACTTCTAAATGCACAAGTCTCTTTAGAGTGGGTGGAATTCATGTCTATAAAGATTTGTCAGCTAAATCTGGCTCAGTTTGATCATTTTTTATTTGATCTTATTTGGGCTCAAGGTTGTATTTTAAATGCATTTTTAAAATTTATTATTTTGTGAAAAACACAAATACTCATCACTTAAGTCCCTGAAGAAATTGCAAACATAAAACTGAGAGGTTAATCATTCCGCTTTGCTCTTATGTTTGTCGAAAAGGAAAAAAAAAATCATTGTGGGTCTTGAAATTTCTGTAAGCGTCATTTTAAGATGCGCTTCACTGTAAAATGTTTTGGATGTCCTAACGAGGTTGTGCAAGATGTACAGTAACTTACTGAAGTAGCTCCAACACTTCAGCACTATTTTTTTTTCTAAACTGGTTTAAATGCTGCCGTTAGACTTCTACCATTTATTAGAGAAGATGTTTTGTAATTAATGGTGACCTCCACCTGCAGAAAAAAATAGAGAATCAACCACCATTTAACGAAAAGCATTTTTAATATATATATAATTTTATATATATATATATATATATATATATATATATTTGTATTATCACTCCTAGAAACAAGCTGTTGGTGTGGGCAGCCCTGTGGCTCTGATCTTGACCCCCACCAGAGAGCTGGCCATTCAGATTGAGAAACAGGCCAAGGAGCTGGTGATACGACTCCCCAACATGAGAACTGCTCTGCTTGTGGGGGGCATGCCCCTTCCGCCACAGCTCCACCGCCTCAAGAGCATCATTAAGGTAAAGGAGCCATTTTTTCCTCCTCATCCAGTTAGTCTCATTTCCCCTCATCATTGTTTTATTCTGGTTTTGATCTCATTCAGATTGTCATAGCCACACCTGGAAGACTCATTGAGATCCTGAAGCAGAAAGCGCTGCAACTTGACAAAGTGAACATCGTGGTGGTTGATGAGGTACGGCAAATTTAGGAAATTCACATTTGTTTAGCACCTAAAACAAATTAAATGAAAATGTGTAGCTTCAATGAAATGGAAATGTATCCACTACTATTCACTCTGAAGTAAGAGTTAATCTGGGTGCATGTTCACAGTGTGGTAAAAATTCAAATCAATCACAGATTAAAGGAACTCTTGGATCTCTTATCCTGTAGGTTGACACCATGTTGAAGATGGGCTTCCAGCAGCAAGTGCTTGAGGTTCTGGAAAAAGTTCCAGAAGATCACCAGACTCTGCTGGCGTCAGCCACCATCCCAGCAGGAACAGAGGAGCTGGCTGCTCGGTTGGTCCGTGACCCGGTTCGCATCTCTATTGGTGAAAAGAATCAGCCCTGCGCAAACATCAGGCAGATCCTGCTGTGGGTGGAAGAACCCTCCAAGAAGAAGAAGCTGTTTGAGATTCTCAATGTAAGGTATATTTCTATCCAGGATTTGGGAAGTGCATCAAAGAAAGGGAAAGGATTGTTTTAGGTTTCAAAAACAAAAATTCAGGTGGAATACTTACACTACCTTCTATTTAGAGATTCTTATTTTTCCAGTTAAACAAATTAGATAACCAAAAATACTTGATATAGACATTTTTTTTCTCATTGTTACTTTTTTACATTTAGGTGTTATTAGGTGGTATTTTTACATAAGGCAACTAAAGGTGTATATTCCTGAAACTCTAGCAACCAGTGCCCTCACACCACCATAATTAGGCAGCCATTACTCCAGTTCCTCGCCTAACAATTCCAGAAGTGGCTCTGACAAGAAAAGAGCAATCTTGTTTATTTGAAAAAAACAAAAACAAAGAAGTTTTATTTCAGCACAAAGTGTAAAATGACCTGAAACTGAGCGTCAGTGGGTCAGAAAACAAAAAACACTGATAAGATTCAGGAAACAAACAAATAAAGAGAAAGATTCACTGCATAAGTTATATCACAGTTTCAACAACAGACATTTGGAAATAATTCTAAATTTAAGTCAAAATTAAAGCTAAAACTGTCATTTCAGACTGAAATCTATCGTTACTGATTAACTTAATCTACTGTTGTGGGCACAAAAAATAAAGATAAGTATTTGTTAAAGTTGCGCTTGGCTCAAACAGGGGTTCCCAAACTTTTCCATGCCATGGCCCCCCCAAACAGCATTAGCTTCTGGCTGAGGCCCCCCTCGCAAACCCACAAACAATGCTACAAAAATGTACAGAAACATCAACTTTTAGAATGTTTTAACTTTTATTCACTATATTCAATTAATTATTACAGCTGCCGAGCATAAAAATGTTATTAACAAACATGTTTTAAACACTGAATTGTATTCCTACTGAAAAAAAAAACAACTTTTCAACAAACTGTTGACCAGAAGATCAAAACAAAAGAAATCTTAACCTCTCTCGTGTTTATCTGGAAATGACAGATACAGATTGACCTAGTGGGCAATTTTTATTATTATTATTACTATTTTTTTGCTTTTTTTTTTATCTTCTTCTCCATCTTTCTGGCGGCCCCCCAGGTGTCTATGAAAAGCCCCCACTTTGAAAAACACTGGCTCAAAACACCAAATGTTATTAATGTTGCTCTTGGCTGATTCAGATGTGTAGGGCAGCACATTTTTGTGACAAGGAGAGGTGTCACTCCATTGTTGTTTTAAATGTTATATTAAGATGCCAGATTAGCTGCTTTGCTTAGATTTTGTGATGTAAAAAAAAAAGAATATCAAGTAGAAAACTTAATGTGAGTGTTGCTTACCAGAGTTGTTGACTCTTTGCTGGAAGCCTTTGATCTTTTTACGTCTTTTAAAATCATTGAACTGAACTATGTAGTCACTGCAGTAATTATGAGGGAATGAACAAAAATCCCTCTGTGCTTGTTTATTTTTGATGTTCTAGGACAACAAACTGTACCAGCCTCCAGTTGTGGTGTTTGTAGACTGTAAACTGGGTGCAGACCTGCTTTGTGAGGCGGTTGCCAAGGTGACGGGTCTCACGACTGTGGCAATCCACTCTGACAAGAGCCAGATGGAACGCAACCGTATCCTCAAGGTGGGACTGGTGTCGAGTAGAATATGCATAAGAGGGTTGATTAAAAATGTGTCCATGCTTGTGTGAAACAGTGCAGCTCCATCCCCCATTAAAAAAATCATCTTGACAACCACAAACAATCTGTTTACTAGTATGGTAGTATAGAAGGTTCATTTTAATCAACTGATTGTCGTTGTTAGCTTTTTTTTATTGTCTTGATGTATGACTTTTATTCAGTGAAACAAAAAAAGCACAGAATAACAGGAAAAGACAAAGACCAAAGAAAACAAGAATAAAATAACATTAGTTTAATTTTATAGGCCAGTTTTATAAAAGCAGATTGCACTAAGTATATATCCCATGCTAATTTAGTTGTATTTTGAGTTTACCTGTTATTTTGCAAACTTTTTATATCACTTTAATGTCTAGGCAAATGTGGATTAGCTTTAAAATCAAGTAAATAACCTTTTTATTAAACAAACACAGGTGTAGCAGTGTGAACTCGGTGTACATTCATATTTGCTCTGTTTCTTCAGGGTCTTCTGGATGGACAGTTTGAAGTGGTGATCAGTACAGGGGTCCTGGGTAGAGGACTTGACCTGGTCAACGTCAAACTGGTGGTTAATTTTGATATGCCGAACACAATGGACGAGTACGTTCACCAGGTTTGTAAAACAATGCAAAGAATAACCACATTCTTTTTTGGTTATGAAATATATCACAGGAACTATAGGTTACAATACACATAATTGAATATGTGAATGCTTTCACAAAGATTCATAACCAAATGTTTGTTTTTGTGTTTATTAAACCTAATTATTGGTTTAATTGAGATTTTTTTCCCATTTCAGGTGGGCAGAGCAGGAAGACTGGGTCACAGGGGGACAGCCATCACTTTCCTTAATAACAACAACAAAAGGCTTTTTCTGGAGGTGGTGAACAGAGTCAAACCTACTGGATCCATTCTGCCCCCTCAGCTCCTGAACTCACCACACCTTCATGAACAGCAGAGGAGGGAAAAACAGAGAAACAGGACTGGATTTGACGACACACTAGTTACCAAGAACAACCTCCTAGACATCATTAAGAAACATGATCGTCGCAAGAAGTAGACAGCTTCTTTTTAATTATTTGTTTTGTGATGTTTTCTATTTTGTGAACAAATAAAAAAACAACCTTGTGGGTTTTGACAAGTAATTTTATAAGACCATACATCCACCCAGGACAGTGCATATAATTTTATTTCTCTAATAAGATTTTTTATTTTATGTAATATTAGTTTGTGATGTTAGCAATTTTAGAATTTGCTAAATCAAGCAAGTTTAAAAATACATTTTCAACCTAGGGCCCAAATTTACACCTAAGATAGTTTTTTTAAGCCTTTCTCAGCATGAAATGCTTAAATAAAAATATATGTTTTTGATTTTACTAGTTGAAAGATCATTTTAGTCAAAATTATATAAATCCTGCAACATGTTAATTGATTTTTGTGCAATTTGCTTTCATCTGATGCATGTTTATTATCAGTGCTTGTGCTGCCATCTAGTGTTACTTCATCATCTCCGCACGTCTCCGACAAAGTGTTACGTAATGACGTCAGGGACTTCAGCCAATCAGAACCTTCAGACGAAGTCGATTTGAAATTGAAGCGGGCGAAGGCGGAAGCGGAGAAACAATAATAAACATAAGTCGCTATGTTTTAGTGCGTATTATAGCTATTGTTTTATACATATGGATTCACGCTTAATTTAATATCACAAGTCGTACTCGCGTTGGTTTTAGTTTTTAATTTTAAGTATCAGTAGATAAAACATCCGGATTTCAGTTGCCGTTAGTCCGCTAATCTTCAAAAATCATGTCGATATTTAGCGTACAAGCGAGGAAGCATACGGCGTTTTATGACCATTTAATGTCAGCATCAGTGTCCAGAACACCTGGGAGAGAGCGACCAGCGGATATAAAGGCAGCGGATCCGCCTTCTCTGGGAACAAGAGAGACATCAAGCTCAGAATCTGCGAGCGAAGTCAGCAGGTCGTCTGAGAAAAGTCATGTAAACAGGACTTATGTCGTCTCTGCCATGTCAAAAGGCGGCAGCGGGCAGCAGACACCTTACAGAGGCCGACTGACGTTACAGAGGAGGTCCAGGAGGAAGACTGGGACTGAAAGAATGAGAGAGGAAACTGGGACTGAGAGCAGCCATAACACAACTCCAGCCCCGGAGAAGAGGCTGACTCTGCAGCGCAGGACCAGGACCCCCTCCATGATGGATAAAACTAAAAGCTCGCGTGGGTTCAGCAGTACTGGCCAACAACCCACCTCCAAAGTCCTGAGTGAACCAAACGGCAGGACTCCTGGCTTACTTAGATCTGCGAGTTTAAGAGAAACTGCCCCCAAGTTCTCAGAAGCTGCAGCTCAGACGCAGCAGATGGAGTCTGCGCGCAAAGAGGCGCCCTCCTCCGCAGCCAGGACTCTTCTTCCCGAGGATCGAGCCCACACCTTTAAAACCCCCACCAAAAAGACACCGTTTGAAAAAATCGCCGCCAAGCGAGATGTTTTTGAGAAATTGGCAAATAAAGAAGCTCCCAAACCGGTGGCGCACAAGTCAGCAAGTCTGGAAAAGCCCCAAACCCGAGCGCACCAGGCTGGAGACGCCAAGGCTCAACCTGTGGCTGCGCCTCGAGTCAGCAAGGCCTTACCAGGTGTACACAGGCCCAACACTGCCATGCAGGAGAGGAAGATGACAACCTCCAGTGCAAAGCCTGAAGTAACCAGTGAACCCACCCTGATCCAAACCAGTGAGAATCTGAGGCAGCAGGATTCACTGAAGATGGAGAACAGTGCTGTGACCGTGGCTGTCCGTGTCCGCCCCTTCAGTGCCAGGTTTGTGGACTTCAGAACACCAGTTCTGAATGTGCAAATACAACTTCTCTTTTCTGCTACTGCAAATGGTGACAGCGCTGGAGTCAAACCCTTGACCTTTATCGTTTGAATATCTTAGAACTCAGCAGTTGGCCTGTCACGATAACAAATTTTGCTGGGCGATTAATTGTCTCAGAAATTATTGCGATAAACGATAATGTTGTTTGAAATTTGACAATAATCAGTCATGTCAAATTTAAGAAGAAATGCTGGTAATAATTTGTGTGTAGTACGCTTTTTGACCACTAGATGGCAGTATAAGACTGTTTGAACCGAAGGACGGATAGTGAGGGAGCGAGCGAGCAGCGTGTCTCTTTAAGAAAAAAATAGGAATTTAAATGGATTTTAAAGAGAATGGGAGGAGTCAGTGAAGAGCACCGGAGTTGAGCCTTCTGTCATCCAGTGTCCAGTAGGAAGAGAGAGACACGAAGAAACGATAAAGCCGATAAATGAAAATGAGGTTGATAATTTTCATTTATCATGCGATTAATTGATTTATTGTTTATTGTGACAGGCCTACTCAGCAGGTCTTTGTTTAACATTAGACTGTATGAATTTTAATTTGTGCTTTCTGTAGTAAAAGCTCAAATCTCTACTTGCAGTGAATCATAATCTTTGTCACTAATAATATTCTGCTCTGTTACAGAGAGAAAACGGAGAAGGCCTTGCGGGTCATATTCATGAACGGTCAGGAGACTGTCGTCCAGAATCCAGAGTCCAAACAGAGCTACTCCTTTACGTACGACTACTCTTTCTGCTCGGTGGATGACCGTGACCCCACCTTCGCCAGCCAGAAGTCGGTGTACGAGACTCTGGCCAAACCTCTGCTGCTGAGGGCCTTTGAGGGATTTAACACCTGCTTGTTTGCTTATGGCCAAACAGGTTCTGGGAAATCCTACACGTGGGTATTTTTGTATCATTACATAATCTCAAATTCTTTTAAAACATGCACCTGTGAGCTCAATTGGTTTAAAATGGTTCTTATGCAGGATGATGGGCTTTGAGGAAGAGGCGGGGGTCATCCCTCGTTTCTGCCAGGAGCTGTTTTTGAAACTGGCCTCTATGGAAAATGAAGAAGTAATATATCACACACGTTCACGGTTAGTCGATCCTCTTTTCTTCCATAACTGTTCAAATACCGTTTTGCACGTTTTCATATTTTAGGTCAAGTGTCACGTAGAGATGAGCTACTTTGAAGTGTACAACGAGAAGATCCACGACCTGCTGGTGACCAGAGAGGAGCCAAACCAGAGGAGGATGCCGGTTAGTATTTCTCACAGTAAATAAATTATTCCTTAATGGCAGTAACAACTGGAAAAAGTACTGAAAATATAAAATATTTTGCCCTTATCACTATGACAATTACTCATATTTTTAAGATGTTTTTGAATAAATTAGATGCAAAGATGTAAAGAAACAAATTAGATATTTTGTGTTTTTATTTTGCATTTAGGCCTGAATAACTTTGGGTGGAAATAGACGCATTTATTTATTTTCTTTCAGCTGAGAGTCAGGGAGCATCCAGTTCACGGTCCATACGTTGCTGACCTTTCTGCGTAAGAGAAATTTATTTATTTTTTCTGCTTTGTCACGTTTCACAAGCCAGAAGAACATTTCTGATCAATACGTTTAACAGAGGGACTCAATTTGTTACTTCTTTTCAGAAATGTGGTGAGCTGTTACGATGACATTAAGGTGGGTGAACTTGCTGTTAAAATATTCTTCCCTTCGTATCCTGACATGGTGTTTTGTAAGTTTAAACGAGAAAATGATGTTTTAGGGCTGGCTGGAGCTTGGTAACAAGCAGAGAGCTACAGCAGCAACTGGGATGAATGACAAGAGCTCCAGGTCTCACTCAGTCTTCACCCTGGTTATGACCCAGATGAAGGTTGGTTTATTTGAACTGAACTGTTTATTGACGCCTCCATTCGTCACGTTGTTTCAGCAGAGAACCTGTTTGTCTGTGTGTTCAGACGGAGTTTGTGGAGGGAGAGGAGCATGACCACAGCATCACCAGCAGGATAAACCTGGTTGATCTGGCCGGCAGCGAGCGCTGCAACTCAGCTCAGACAAGTGGAGACAGACTCCGGGTGAGCACTCGCACATCGTCGCTCTTTGTTGAGCGTTCGTTTCTCTGCTTGCTGCGTGAACGCTCATGAAGAGGTCACGCTGTTGTCATCCATTTTTCTTCCGTACGTTTTTCGGCACCATTCTCGTCCCGCACTTTTCAAGCTATTTCAACAAAAACGTTCAGCTCTTTCTGGACAATCTTGCTATGACTTTTGGTATTGGTGCAACTTTAGCTTTTTGAAATATTTAGCCTTTTCTGCTGTTTTTGTCTCATAGAAAATGAACTGAGCTCATTTTACATCCTGCATATCTTTAGATCTGTTTACAACCTTTAACTGCTCCTTTCACGTTTTGTTCTGCTTCAGCTTCCTTGTGCAAATAAAATTTTTTGGGGGGCTATTTTCAGCTAATTCCAGCCGGTTTTTCCAGCTGTTTTTGGGCTTCTTTCAAATTCTTTTTGCTAACTACAACATTTCTGTACTTCTTCTTTCAGCTAATTTCAGCCTATGCTGATCTTAGCTTATTTTTGAAAGTTACAGCCTTTTTTTCCCCAGCTACTATTTAACAGTTTTTATGCTAATTTTAGCTTTTTCAGCTAATTCCATATTTTTGTACTTATTTTTAAAAAAAAATCAGCCTAATTCAGCAAAAATGGGCTCTTTCCACTTTCTTCTGGTAATTTAAGCTTCTTTCTGCCATTTTAGCTACTTTTCAGCTGTTTTTTGTTTGTTTCTAATTTCAGCCTTATATAATATATATATAATTTCCACTTTTTTATGCTCATTTCTGCTTCTTTCAGACTAATTGGGCAAACATGTTCTTTCTGCTTTCTTCTGCTTATTTAAGCACGTTTTAACTTTTCAGCTACCTTTAGTGTTTTTTAGCTAATTTCAGCTGTTTTCAGATAAATTCAAATTTTTTTGTGGTAATTTCTGCTATTTTCAGCTTAATTAATTTTGTTATGCTCATTTCAGCTTGTTATGCTTGTTTCAGCTTTTTTCTGCTGATTTTAGCTTTTTTTTGCTATTTCAGCTACTTTTTAGCTGTTTTCTGCTAATTTGATCATTTTCAGCCAATTCCACATTTTTGGAGCTCATTTCAGCTCTTTCTGCTTCCTTTTGGTCATTTAAGCCTCTTTGTGCCTTTTCAGATACTTTTCAGCTAGTTTTTTGCTAATTTCACCTTTTTTTTTTTTTAGCTACTGGTATTTTCCTAATTTTGGGGCTCATTTCTGCTTATTTAAACCTAATTCAGCAAATATGTGTTCTTTCTGCTTTCTTCTGCTAAAGTAGGCTTGGTCTTCCAGTTCAGCTACATTTCAGAATGTTGTTTTGGCTATTTCAGCTGTTTTTCAGAAAGTTCTTCAGCAATAAGCATTCACACTGCATATTCACAGGAAATGCCATTTCTCTTGTTGCATTTGCTTTTGGGTTTTGAAATTTGCGATTGACATTACCGTAGTTATCCTTATTTTTCTTGACTTTTTATAAAACGACATAAAAACTGAATTAAGTTTGTTCAAGTTTTAGTGTATATGTCATCTTGCTGTAATATTTACTTCTAAAAGGGTAAAGCCAGTTGTTTGTTGTTACAGGAGGGTGCTAGCATCAATAAGTCGCTGCTAACTCTTGGAAAGGTCATCTCCGCCTTATCTGAACAAGTACTGACCAGGAAGAAGGTCTTCATACCGTACAGAGAGTCTGTTCTCACATGGTAGGCATGGAGTAAGCTTGTACACAGTTGTGCACATGCTTTAATACCTTTTTTTTTTTTTTTTTTTTTTAGGAAAATGAATTAAATAAAACCTTTTATGGTGTTTTGCCAGAGCTGTCTGTGGCTCTGATGGACATTATTGGTCTAAACATCCCCGGTGTTTTGAAATTAATTTTAAATATGGACACATTGAAAGAACTGAGAAGGTGTTTTTATTCTTTTGATCTGCAGGTTGTTGAAAGAAAGCCTTGGTGGTAACTCCAAGACGGCCATGATTGCGACGGTGAGCCCGGCGGGCAGCAACATGGAGGAGAGTCTGAGCACGCTGCGTTACGCTCAGCAGGCCCGCACGATCATTAACGTGGCCAAAGTCAACGAAGACACTAATGCCAAGCTCATCAGAGGTTAGACATTTCACACGTGGGATTTTTAATTAAATTTATTTATTTAACCTATCAATCTAAGCCTTTAAAGCTGATTATTTTTAACGGCTAATAGTAGTTAAAGTTTAGTTGTTTTTTTTTTATTATTTTTTTTTCTTTACTTTGGAAAGTCTTTCTATTTGCAGCTTGCTTTTTTTGCGTCTCCTTCCGTCCCACAGACCTTCCCGTCCTCACACTTATCCATCACCACCTCCTGCACTTTGCAGATGAATTGAAAGCGTGGCCCTAACCTTGCTTCCTGCCCTTATTTATGCACTGTCAGTTGCACATAGCGGCTAACTGTCATGCAAGTATTATTTTTCATAAAATCGTCTCGGTGCTGTTTGACGTTTTTAGCACTAAGGGGAGCTCTTGCTGTAGATTTGTCTTACGTCAGCGTGAGCCTCCTTCCAGTGAGGACAATGTCCTGCAGTGAATCATCTTCAACCTTTCTGTGACCTCTTTCAAAGATCTTTAAAGTGACTGCATTTTTTTATATCAACGTTTGCTCAAACCTACTCAGTTTAAGTTGTCTTTAAAAGCAACGTGATCCTACTCTTTGTGCCTTTTTAGAGCTGAAGGCAGAGGTGGAGAAACTGCGAGCGGCCCAGATGAGCTCCCTGGGCGTTGAGCCGGAGAGAGTCCGACTGTTCCAGCAGGAGATCACCGCCCTGAAAAATAAACTCTCTCAGCAAGAGAGAGAAATGGCTGAGGCCAACCGGTCAGCATCACAAAGAAAATTCAAATACTACTTATATTTATGGGCATCTAATCCTAAATTAGACACTTTGCTTCATGGCTGGGGTTAGTTTTAGTTAGATACTAAATAATAATACAAATTAAAACTTTGTGTCTTGGTTTCTTTTCGGGCAGGGCCTGGAGAGAAAAACTCGAGCAAGCAGAAATCCGTAAACGTGAAGAAACCAAAGAACTGCAGGTATTTTTTACTCTGCTCTTTATTCACTGTGCACAGCTGATTTATTATTTCCTCTTTGTGCAAATGAAACACCTGGTTTATTAAATCTGTGCTGGAGAGGATCGTTTCTGTAAAGGCTTCTCGCTCTTGTCTAATCAGAAAGTGGGCGTGACGTTCAAAGTGGACAACCGTCTTCCCAACTTGGTGAACCTGAACGAGGACCCTCAGCTGTCCGAGATGCTTCTCTACATGATCAAGGAGGGCAGAACCACAGTAGGCAAGCTCAAACCAGGCTCCACTTACGACATCCAGCTCACTGGAGCCCTCATTGCTGACCAGCACTGGTGAGAATGAAATCTCAGCAGGGTGTGAAAACAATACAGTAGTCCCTCGTTACGTCACGGTTAGTTTTTCGCGGACTCTCTCTATCGCGGCTTTTCAAAGTAAGATTGGACACGACACACAATTGGCTGATTGATAGATGAGCCGCACGATCGGCATGGAATTAAAAAAAAAAAAAATATATATATATATATATATATATATATATATATATATATATATATATATTATTTTTAATATTTAGCACCTGCTTCAGAAAAAAAGCTTCCTCCTGCACCAGTGTGCAGCCCAAGCTGCATGGGAAGCTTCCTCGCAGCTGATCAGCTGATCTCTGCTCTATAGAGGAGAAGTGGGCAGGAGGCAGAGAGCTGAAATCATGACATTCTGTGACATTCTGATACTAAAATAAACAACTACTTGTACTACTTACTTTGTGGTTTTTCACTTATCACGGGGCTTCAGGGTACAGATCCCCCGCGATAAACGAGGGACTGCTGTATTTAGCTAAATGAAGAATATATTTACTGTTTGGTGACCAGCGAACATTTAAAAATATTGCTAATGTACTTTTGTTTGTTTTTTCCTTAAGTGTCATATCCAACATCCACAATACTGTCAGCATCACTCCAATGGACAATGCCAAGACATTTGTAAATGGGAACCTCATCTCTGAGTCTACTGTCCTACATCATGTGAGCAAAAAGTTTAGCTGCTTTTCATTATGGTGTAACTTAATATCTTGCATGACTTGTTGCAAATCAAACTCCACAGCCTGCGTGCTCGTATGGTTTCATAAATCAGTTTCATGTCTTCTCTTTGGCTGTGGCGTCCAGGGTGACAGGGTTATCCTTGGTGGGGACCACTACTTCCGCTTTAATCACCCAGCAGAGGTGCAGTCTGGAAAGCGTGTGTCATGCTGGACAAGTGCGGGCGATGGCCAGAAAGACTTTGAGTTTGCCAAAAATGAGCTACTGGCAGCTCAGAGAGCAAAGTATTTTTTTTTTTAGTGTTCATAATGTAGATTAATGCTAATGCCGCTCCGCAGGGACTCTTAGACTTCCTGTTTTTAAAGTTTGATTGTAAGTTATTTATTTTAAAAAAAAAGAAAGTTTCATCACTTTATTTTTTTTGCTTTTCAGACTCGAGGCTGAAATTGAAGAAGCCCAGTTAAAGGCAAAAGAGGAGATGATGCAGGGAATTCAGATGGCAAAAGAAGTGGCTCAGAAAGAGCTTTCTGACCAGAAATTTCTTTATGAAAATAGGATTCGAGCCCTGGAAAAAGAACTGGTACAGTTTAACCTATTTATATCATATTTATATTTAAAAAAAGCCCATTTACAACATTTTCTTATGATTTTCTTTGATTCTTGCCTGACATTTGGAGTTTTCTTCATGCGCTTTGTATCAGAGGCAGTTAACTTTGTTTTATTTCACTGAATTTGCAGCCATTAGAGGTCAGTATGTTGCCAGTTTAAAAAAAAAAAAAGGATAAAAAAACACTCCAGTGGAATTTTATCACATTATATTAAATATACAAGTACTGTATTGCCTCATTACAGGATCATCAAACTTCTGCATCTCCTCAGACCTGCACCTTTCCGTGTTTGGTCATCAGTTCTGGTTTAACGTGCAATTCTTTTCAGACTGAGGAAAATGAGCGGAAGCATCAGCAGGAGTTGGACCAGCAGAGGGTGACCAACCAGATGAAGGAGCTCAAACTGGCCAAGCTGGAACTGCAGAAGGAGGTGGACACCCATAAGACACGCCTCCGTCTACACATGGAAACCCAGGTTGGGCTGACAGAAAGTTCATGGACTTTTCTTTATTTAAAAATAATGTATGTATTTGGTTCATGTGATGTTTTTAAGCATTTCTTATGAGAATTGTACTTTTAAACTATGAAGAATTTTCCCCACGTGCACCAAAATTATATTTCTGCTTCATAAAAGAATCAGCGTCTTACACTTTATAAAATATTAGAAACACTTGTTTTACTTCTGACTGATGATGAGGTAAATGGCCACATTTTGACACAGATATAATTAAAATATAACTTGAATTAGAAAACAAGGCATCATGATCAGTGCAGTGATATAGTTACGGTGCATAATGTTTTGTGGGTGTTTGTATTAAAATAATACAGCACAACTATATTAAAGGATACATTTGTAAAAACTGCTGGATTTACCGTACTTGCACACGTTGCACCGCTGTATAAGTCATCAGCCTAAAAATGTCTAATAAAGTTGGAAAAAAACATAAATAATTTGCTTTGCCGAATAAGTCACATCTATTATGCATCACCGCTGATGCATCACGTTTGTTATGTGTCACTGCTGACCACCCGGAAACGTGGGGTGGTGGTGTGCCAAAAATCAATTGGCTGCCAAATGGCGGCAGCGGGAGCTTTAACCAGAATTTAACAAGATTAACACTTAAAACCAATTATTTGTTCGCTTGAAATTATAGTAAAGGTGTGTCTCAGTTGAACTTTTCCTTAATAAATGCACTTTAATGGTCAAATCAGCTGCATTTCACCTGGGCGGCGCAGCAAAATGCAGCTGATTTGATGTTTACTCCAGGAGTTACGGAGCAAGACGAAGTGGCTCGGTATGGCAACTCAAGTGTCTCATTAATAGATAAAAGTGGCTATTGTGGATATTGATATATTAGTTGATGACCCTCTAGTGGCTGAAAATTGTAGTGTTCAATATTTTCCATGTCTGAATGAATGAAATCGTCAGGTTTCAACCAAAAATCAGGTTATAAATATGGGGAAAAACATAAATAAGTCGCTTCGCCGTATAAGTCACAGGGCATGCAAATTTACACAAAAAAGTGTGACTTGTACTGCAAAAAGTGCAGTAGCATTTTTTTACTCTGCAGGGTTGGAGCCATCTGTAACTCCTATATTCTGAGATCCAGCCTGAAAATTGTAACTAAGCTTTCAGTCAGCTTGCATCTTTCTTTTGAACAGGCGGTAGAGCAGAGCACATTTGTCACTAATGCCGACACCATCTCACATTCTACTGATTTGTCTTTATAGAAACGAGCTTTAGTGTCCCGCATATGCTGACTCCTAGTTTTGTGTTTAACCAAGAGGCCTTTTGGGATTTCTTTGAGTCGTGCAGTAGCTTGGATCATCGCTGAATGTAATGACCTGGTGGTTTTTAATATCATGTTGCTATGACTTGTTGCAGGCTATGGAGGAACGTAGGGTATGCCAAGCAAAGATTGTTGAGGCCCTCGAGGCAGAAAAGAGGAAGATTAGTGAGGAGCTGGAGGAGATGCAGAAGAAAAGAGCTCTAAGGGCGAACAAAGCTCCTCAAAATGGTGAGGGTTTTTTAAGTTCTGAAGCTGCCTACACGCATTACATGTTTTCATATGCAAGGTAAATTATACTGTTTTTACATGTTTCCCTGCTCCTTCTATGTTCACAATCCTTCAGTAGCTTTTTAAATAATAATAGTTTTAGCATTATAAACCTCAATATGTTTTTTGAAAAGTAAAAATGCAGTTGATGCACAATTCTTTGGTTAGGAAAATGTTAAAGTTCTTATAGGGACATTTAGTAAAGCAGTGTACAGTCAATGGCTCATAATGTATAGATCATTGCTGTAGATGTTTTCTGTGTTTCAGCCTGTCCACAGTGGGATGCCATGAAGCTGTCTGTGATGATTGAAGAGGCCAATAAAATCAGTGTTAAACTAAAGAAACACACGATCTTCAGCAGGTGGGAAAGACGAACGGGAACATTTACATTTGCAAAACAGCAAATGTAGCAATACTCGACTAATCTATTTAGAATTAATTAAAGTGTTGATTTTAAGAATTATTTACGTTGTGGCTTTTCTTATCTCTGATTTCATCAGAACCAGTTACTATTTAAAACACATTTTTTTTCTTTTCCTCCAAGCAAATGTGTATTTGGACTAAGATTTGCCAGTTTTCATGTTGTTTTCTTCTGTTTTAGGCATGAAATCTCAGTCAGTGAAAACCCTGATTGTGGGGGTCAACAAGTACGAGTTCAAAACACAAAGCTGGGGATAACAACTTTCTGGAGCCTGGACAAGTTCCAGAACAACATGGTGGCCATGAGGGAGCTTGAACAGGTTTGATTTGAATCAGTTTTAATTTCTAAACGTTGTAATGGCAGCAGGTTTTGTTGCATTTGCAGTGTAAAGTTAGTCAAAGTCAACTTTATTGTCAAAACTGCACTATGTACAGGACATACACAGTATTGAAATGTCATTACTCTCAGACCCCTGATGCAACAATAACCATTAAACATTAGCATAAAATGAAATAATAAAAGTATATTATCCTAAATTGTAAGTACAGCAGTATAAATATAAAAAGTATATCTATAAGTATGAAAGTCCTGACATTGACCTTTGTAGTAAAGTGACAAAGCAGCATATGAAGTGAATATACTCCATATATGTATGAAGTTCTTGATATTGATATAAAGGTAAAGTGACATATGCAATATAGTAAGGCTAGTAAAAAATATAAACAGTAGTGTAAATATAAACTTCTATAAAGTTGGAAGTAAGTACCGTAATTTCTGGTCTATAAGCTGCTACTCTTTTCACACGCTTCGAACACTACGACTTCTATAATGGTGTGGCTAATTTATGGCTTTTTAAAATTTATTTAGACAGGCTAACGAGCTTCATGCCGCCAAAAACATTTTAGCCTCGTCACACCTGGGTGCTCACATAGCTGCCCAATACATGCCTCTCTTGGGGGGTGGGTCCTCTTGACTCAATGAGTCCTGTATAAATAAAGGTAAACAAAAATCTGACCAATAAAATTACTGAACAGGTCACAGTAGGGAGAATTTTTTTTTTTAATAGTATTTGTGTATGTTCCCGATACCTATTGAATTAAAAGTTTAAAAACTTTTCTGTGTAAATATCTCGTGTTACAATGTGGACACCTGTGGCTTATATGTGCACATTTTTTTATTTTTAATTTAGTGGGTGTGGCTTATATTCAGGTGTGCTCAATAGTCCAGGAAATTACGGTAGTTCATGCAATAAAATTTAAATGTGTTATCTGTTACTGAAATGTTATATTTAGATTAGTTTGGCTCTACTCAACTCTGTCTTTTAGGAATATGGAATACACAGATTAATCTCGTTTGTATTTTGACAGATTATAGTCATAGTTTATAAAATGGATAAAAGGCTGTGCACGTCTTTATTAGATTTACGCCGTGTTCTGGTAAGATAATCCATTATGTTTGTTGAGCAGAACATGCAACCAGCCAACATCTCTTCCTCATTCTGCATGTTCACAAAATGACATCGCCTCCACTTAATTGCCAATCTCCCTGCCGTTTGACCTTATTTACAATCGTGAATGGCTTGTTTTACGCCTGACAGAGGAGCGCTGCCTCACTTTGCTGCGCTTTTCTCATTAAGTTGAGTAAGTGCGACTGGGCTTGTCAGCAGTACTTTACTTTCTGCAGGGGGATTCCACCTCTAAAGATGACGATGTGTTTTATGACCCTGACGATGAATGGGAGCAAGATATATCGGCCTCCTCTGCTTCCACCTCCTTTTCTCGCCGAAGGTAATTATCCAGCTCATCTTGCTATCCTTCAGCTCCCATTTTAGCATCCTAAATTTATAGCATTTCCAAACTTCAGGAGTCGGTTGCCGTTTTTGTCAGTGCTCCTGTGGTAAACATAGTTTGTGCAATGTGTTTAAAAAAAAAAAAAGATGTGTTTGGAAAATGTACAGTTTCAAAGAATTTGGTTATTTGCACAAGTTCCTCCAAGTTTCCCACAGTGCAATTTACAAGCTGGCACATATTTTTGACTCTGAGCCGATCCGCTCTCCTTTCATGAAATTGCTGCCCGCTGAATATTTTCCACCTTGTTTATTCATTTTATGTCCACAAAAGACAAGGCAGTACGTTTGGAAAAAGAATGAAGTTCATAGCTCATAAACACAATGTACACACACACACACCTGTTATAAATGCAGAGCCTCAAACTTTTTCCTCTCCCACTATTGTTGTTTTTGGCAAGAGCTCATGCTGGTGCCCAAATAACCACCAGAGCCAGCCAATTAAAACACGGCACAGAGTCTGTGGGCCTGTCACACTTTTCCCTCTGACTTTATTAAAATTGTTCAAACTGTGTAATCATTGCTGTCTACTCACCTTCTCTTGGTTTGCTTCTAGCTTCTAGTTTATCCGCTGCTCTGTTTTTACAGTTTAATTTAAATCCCCAGAAAGTTAAAACACTTAATCTAATTACTCTTACTAAAGTCTGTCAAAAATGTCCACCTTTAAACATATTAAATACACTGATTGTCAACGCCCTCATTATAGCAATGGTGGAATATAAATAATAGTGCACAAATGTCTAGATCTTCAAAAATGAACAATTTGCAGTGCAGCAAGAGGGAGGAGTTGACACCAAAACATTTTTTTTAAATTGAGCTCAAGTTACAGTAGTCCCTCCCTCGCTACTTCGCGGTTTGTTTTTTGAGGATTTGTCCTATCGCGGTTTTTCAAAATAAGATTGGACACGACACACAGTTGGCTGATTGAAGAATGAGCCGTACGATCACCATGGAATTTTTATATAAAATAAATCATTTAAAATTATTTAGCACCCCTGTGCGTCCCACGCTGCAGGATAAGCTTCCTCCTGCAGCTGAGCAGCTGATCAGCTGATCAGCTGTTCTCTGTGCAGAGCAGAGAAGTGGGCGTGGCCAAGAACGCTTGCTTGGCTGAGAGCAGCGGAGGTAGAGAGAGGGAAATCATGATATTCTGTGCTCTTTTAGAGTGTTTAGAGTTTAGAAAGATTGTTTAAAAAATTGCAAGAGTGCGGGGAAAGGTTTACGTAACACCTTTTTATATATTTTTATATATATATATATACACACATACACACACACACACACACACACACACACACAAGGGTCTACTGTATATTGAAAATCTACTTAATAGCTTTAAGCAATTGTTTAAGAATGCTATGAACATGTTTCTGATTGGTTGGACTTCAGGAGTAGGAGCCTTCTGAAGAGTAAGAGGATCTCTGGTCGTCTCTATGAGATCCGCGTCCATCCTATTCAGAGCCTTAGCAGCTCGTCACAGTCTGCTGGTAAGGAACTTAACACAAGTGAACTTTTACACTTATTGAACTTGGGCTAGTTTTGACAACACAGCGTATGCTACATAAACGCTACTAAACTTTGTTTATGCAAGTTAAACATTTATAGTTGGACTGCGCTGTAAACATTTTTCTGTGCACACTGACTCACTCTAGGGTTGATGGGTGTGGTCAATGCTCCCACCACCCATTACAGCACCACACACCCTGCCATACCTGGCATCTGCAAGGAGCTGGTTGGTCAGTCAGTGGGTCGTTTGCGTGGCTGCAATGGGACTGAAGAGAGCCTGGCAGATAAACTGGTCTCTGATCTGAATCTGGTTTATAAGGCGGTCCAAACCATCTCCAACCTGTACGACGGCCTGGATGATGACGGTCAGGACAATGGTGAGTTTTGATTGATAGTGCTGCTCCTATGTTACATCTCTCTTTCTGTTTTACACATAAAACATGTTCATTCTGTCAGACTTTTTATTTTATGTGTGTTTTTTCTTCTGCAGTGTTTGTGTGCAACTCTGTAGCCCAGACTGAGCTGATCAAGGCCACCGCAGCCATAGAGAGTGCAGTGTTTGTTACCACGCACTGGTTGGCCAATGTCAAACCCTCTTCTGGTTTACTCTACACCACAGCTGAAGAGCTTAAGAGCCAGGTTAAGAAGATGGGAGGATTCTTCCAGATACTTATTCAGGTAAACGCCTACAGATCGCCAGAAAATAAAGGCTCTGCAATTTCTTGATTCCAGAGGTTCTTGGTAATTTTTTTGTTTATTTATTAGTTGGAAGGAGTGCAAAATCTAAGCAGACAAAATGGTTACAATTAGAAGTAGTTTGGAGAAGGGCTTGCTTTTTAAAATGCAGAGTTGATTGACAGGTCTTAGCTCTGAGCTGTTTGAGGCCTGTCTGTTAAGCTGAGGGAATTCTCAACCTTGAGCCCCACGCAGAACATGAATATATGGAAACAAAATCTAAATTCCTTCCAAGTCTTGGCACCTAAACAGGCAATTTTCATCTCTCAGTCCTGATTTTTAATATTTTTCCACCATTTTAATTTATTTACTGACCCTTCAGATGTTGCAGACTGTCGTGTTGGTTTGCATCAATTCAGTAGTAAATCAATTTTAATTCCACCTGTTTGTTTATGCTGGCTTGAATTAAAAATAAACTTTTTTTTTTTTTTTTCCTGATCCAGGGTTGTGAGTCGGAGATCACATCAATGGTGGTAGAAGCACGAAGGAAGAGCAGTCAGTGCCTGGATGCTGCATTGTTTTCTCTCAGTCACCTGGCAGTGATGACAGGCATGAAGTTGAACGTCGTGGGGCTTAGCTCTCAGCCCACAGGCAAGGTAACCCTAATATTTACTGCAGTACTACTTCTGTTCAAGCCCCCGTAGTAGATCTTTATTCTGAATAAATGCATTATAAGAAAATGTCCTGACTGTTCCTGTGTTGATGAAAGAACTGCAGTTTTGGTCATTAAAAAAAGAATATGTATAGATGCTTATTGATCAATTCAATTCAGTTTATTTATGTAGCGCCAAGTCACAACAGAAGTGATCTCAGGACACTGAACAGAAACATTCATATATACATAAAAAGTAGGTTAACAACATTATTTATCTGAGGAGCAGACTGCTTTGAGTCTTAACTTTCTCGCAGAACTCTCATCTTGAGCAAGCATGAAGGCGACAGTGGAAAGGAAAAACTCTCTCATGAGGAAGAAACCTCCAGCAGAACCAGGCTCAAGATCATCATCATCAAATACTATTACTATTTATTAAATACTAATGCTACATAATAATACTATTACTAATACTACATTATTATTATCAAATACTGTAAGTCTTAATAGCTACACTTATATTTTTACACTTACTGCCTTAAACCCACCATCAGAAAATTAATTTATCAAGATTTCCAAGTTTTATTTGAGAGATTTCCCAAATTAGTTAATAAAAAAGTGGAACAAATTGGTGTTTGAATGAAATCAGTTTAGCTTGAACTCCGCTTCTCTTTTAAGCAGCAAATACATTCAGTGAGGGGAAAAATACACAAACGCAGACTGGGGGTCCTCCCCCAGAAAAGTTTGAATAAAGTAGATGTGATTTCCTGTATTTTGGTTTAACAGGTTTGTTAATCATCTGTAGAGATTTAAAAAAAAAAATTGCGGACCCCCAAGCACTGGCTCGTGGAGCCCAGTTTGAGAACCACTGCTCTAAATGATCAGAAATGTATTGATTCATTGTGTTTTTATTGTTCTGTTTGTATTTCTTGAGAAAGTTCACAACAAAACAAGAAAAATGACCAGCTAGCTCTCTTTTCAGCCATCAGTGACGAGTTGTCTGCTGAAGGGAACCAGTAAAGGTGTCGGCTCTCTCTTAGAGGAAACCCTCACCATCGCTAAGGGAATGCTGAGAGAGGCTCAGCTGGCCTATCCCAGAAACCCCGTAAGAAAACAGAATTTATTCATTTCAAATCTTTACTTTATTCCCACTACTTATATTTATTTTAATTTAAGGATGTCTTTTTTTCTTTTGTCACAGAATTTGTTTTAACGGATTCATAAATCAGCTTTTGTCTTCGAACTTTATTACTTTGCAGGAGTTTCTTCTCTTTGAAACCTCTCGTCTCTGCTTTCAGGTCCTGCAGAATCTAAAAGCCAAAGTTCTCGATCTGGCTCGTGCCCTGCAGAGCTACATTCACTGCCACATTTCTGTGAGTTTTAGCAACACATAAAGGTTTTTATGATGCGCAGTAATCGTAGATTTACAGAACATCTTGTTTCAGAGTTTTTCACCTAGAAAGTTTGTGTTTAAAGTGACATCAAACACATAGTTGACTTGTTTTTATGGTCTTAGATAGTTGGTTGTTATTTTCATTGTTTATTAAAAGTGATGAGTGTAAGAACAATGTTTTCTCCAGTTAGAGCTATAAACATGTTCTGAAAGGACTTATACATTCTTTAAATAAGAAACGTTGTGTTCTAAATATGTTAATGTAGAGCAACTTATCTGTAGTCAACAAAACCACCATTGCATGCTTAAAGTTGACTGAAAGACAGAATGCATGCTCAGCCAAAATGATTCCTTCATCCTGACACAAGTTTAAATACCCACTCGCCCAACAACCCCGTTAAAGCTGCCACTCAGCCTTTATTGCTCCTGTAACGCTCGGTGCTCTGTAAGCTTATCTCCCTGCACTCATCCCTCGACGATCGTTTACGTAATGAATGTGTTGAATGAAGTGACATAAGTCACAGCTAACAGGCTCGTTTGAAGCTATCTTAGCCACACAAAGTAGCAGCAATTTTTTTGTTTAACCAATAATGGGCACAGTAGCATTTTGCCTTTACGATGATAAACCAGAGTTATGGCCTTTGGCAGACGCTGTCTGCTTGTCCTCTGGACAAAAAGATGTAGCACAGTGCTCTGGTTGAATTGTACCTGGATGTAGATGATGGATGAGTGAGAAAGAGAATGAACCTGAAAAATAGGGTTACAGACAGCTGCAACGTTTGATCTGTTTTCAATTCTACAGCTGTTGTTGGGCGTGTGTATCCGTTTTATATGCCAATGTTACTTTACATAATCATTATTTGCTGTCTTTGTTGGGTTTATGTTTTCAATCAGGAGAGGGAATCTGACCTAGAGGAGGCGAAGGAAGAGGAAGAAGCCTCCATTGCTTGTCTAGAGAGACTGAGGACTACGTCAGCCAAACTGTTCCAACTGACCCAGGCAGTTCGACGGCTGCATTCCTCTTTAACTAAAGCCTTGCGAGGTGAAACTTTTGACTTGCACATAGCTTAGATCAGAGGTCCCCAACTCGGATCACTGTCCTAAACGTCTTAGATGTTCGCCTGTTTCAGCTCACCTGACAGAAATGAACAAGTCATTGAAAGTCTTTGGCTAAACTTAATGACCTTCTGAGTAATTCAATGATTTGAACAAGGTGTGTTGAAGCAGGGAAATGGCTAAAGAGCAGTGAGCCAAGAGAGCTCAGGCTGGGGACCTCTGGTGGCTTAGATTATCATATTTTCCGGCATATAAGTCGCACCTTTTTGCATAAATTTGCAAGTCCTGCGACTTATACACTGAAGCGACTAATATATGTTTTTTTTTTCCATATCCATAACCCATTTTTTTGACTGACATTTGATGCTTTCATTCATTCTGACATGCACCAGATTAACCATTACCATATGCAGCCGCTAGAGGCACGAGAGGGCCTTCTAGGCTTTTGATAACTACCACTATACGCCCCCCCCCCCCCCCCACACACACACACACACACACAAACATTCACTTACAGACAACTGAGAAAAGCTTAACACAAGCAAAATGCCCCCAAACAGAAAATCCTATTTTACAGATTATAAATGGCAGCGGCGTTGGAGTCGGGTGGCAGCGAAGCGTGTGATCCGCAGCCCTGGGAAGCAACGAGGTGCGGGTGGGGGGGGGCGCTGTAGAGCCGCCAGCCTTCAGGGCAGCTTCATTTCACCGTGCCACCCAGGCGAAGTGCAGCTGATTTGACCATTAAAGTGCATTTATTAAGGAAAAGTTCAACTGAGACGCACCTTTGCTATAATGTCGAGCAAGCAAATAATTATTTTTAAGTGTTAATCTTGTTAAATTCTTGTTAAAGTCCTCCCATGCACGCTCCCACTGCTGCCTTTTGGCAGCCAATTGATTTTTGGCACACCAGCCCACGTTTCCAGGCGGGTCAGCGGTGATGCATAATAAATGTGACTTATACGGCGAAGCGACTTATTTATGTTTTTTTCCACTTCATGAGACATTTTTGGACGGATGCGACTTATACGTCAGAAAATACGGTAACCAGAATTTTGGGGCATCACAGTGGTTAAACTATAGGTTTTAATGTTTTCGAAGGTGCCACCATCCTATTTTTGCAACTTTTTTTAAAGTTAAGCTAACTTTTGTTGATGTTACTGAGTGGTCTGATTTTTACCCCTCTAGATAATAACTCTGACCTCAGCAGCTGCAGAGAGCTGATCTCCTCCTCTGCCACTACTGTTGACGACTTAATCACTGGTCTGTCCAAGGAGGGTGCAGAGAGTGTGTCCCTGCAGCTCCCCTGCCTTCAGACTGTGATATCTGCACGAGACGAGCTCCACTCTGCACTCCAGTCCTTGTCCTCATCCTCCTGCTGGAGCCAACAGGAAGTGGACAGAACCAGCAGTTCATCCAGTTCTGAGAAGAGAACAGAAAATTATTTGTTTACCAAAGAGAGAGCTAAAGCACACAGCGCTGTTAGAAATCGAGTTGTAAGTAAGATGGTTTACTCCATTGCCCCTGGTGTGGCCAGCAGTGATAGCCCACACTGGGTGTAATGCTTTTGTGTTAATATAGCTTACATCTTTTTTTTTTTTTTTAATTCGCTATAGAAATGTGAGGTTTTTGCCATATAGAATATTGGATTAACCTGCTGGGCAATTGTACCTTTTACAAACAATGTAGAGAACACTTAAGTATAGCATCCACATGCAGGTTATTTATACTCTTATTAAAACTACAAGAACAACAGCTGCTTCAAACATGGTGTAAATGCAGCAGTGCTGAGGGTTTCATCCTTTGTAGGGCAAGAACGTGGTTTTCTGGACGCGTGAGCTGAAGCAAGAGCTTCGCTCATCAGTGTGTACATTTTAAGAAGCTGTTTGTGGATAAACAGTAAAAGAAATCATCAGCAAAAAAAAAAAAAAAAGGCATTCTGTGTTAGACCATCACTGGTTATATGCTTCGGAATCCTTAGATTTTTTTTTTTCTGCTTTAAAAAATATATATTTATGAAAGTAAATGCGTAACACAATACTTTGCAGCTTTGGTATACTGTTTGTACAAATGTATGAAATATGTTTTCACTCCCTTCTTATTTTGTATTATGGCACATTTCGTTCTTATGTTTGCATAAACACAACTGTATAACTATCAAACTATTTGCACTCAGGAAAGACATGTATCTTATAGGTTTCTTATATGCATGTAAATAAAGTAATTTGGGTACATTTCTATTTTTTTTAAATGCGTCAAGATAATGGCTACCTGCACAGTTACAGAAAATAAATGTTTTCTCAAGGGTGTATGCATTTCCATTCAGCAGGTGATTCATTCTCATCTGCACCGATAGAAGAGCTTTCATTAGTTGTAACTTGGCACGTAAATATTATATTGTTGACATTTTTATATGTTTAATAAACCTGTTCTAATAGATATGTACACATAGGGCTACTTCACTGAAATTCTATAGTGGTATAACCTCATACAGTATGTATTTTGTCCTTTTACATCATGTAAAATATTTGTACATTTATTATAAAAATACATTAAACCAATTGTTTTCTCCAGACACTTATCTACAACTCTTAGATCATTAATACATTTAGTCTAGAGAGAAATTGCATTTTCTGTGAAAATGCACTGTGAATGCTAATTGCTGAAAAACAGCTGAAATGGAAGAACAAGTCTAAGCAGAAAGAACACATATTTGCTGAATTTGGTTTAAATAAGCAGAAACGAGCACAAAAATTAATAAATTGGCTAAAAAAGTTGAATTTGGCAACAAAAGTAGGTGAAACGACAGGGAAAAGCTTAAATTAGCAGAAGAAAGTGGATAGAGCACAATTGTGCTCAATCAGGCAATGTAGAAATTACCACAAAAAGTGGAACTAACCTGAAAATATCAGAAATTTGTAAAAAAAATAAATAAATAAACAGCCAAATAGTATAGCTAAAAAAGCAGAAAGAAGTTTAAATTAGCAGAAGGAAGTGGAGAGAATGATTTTTTTTTTTGCTGAATTAGGCTGAAAAAAGTTGAAACAAGTGCCAAAAAATATTGATTTAGCTGAAAATGCTGAAATTAGTATACAAACAGCAAAATAGTAACTAGCTGAAAAAGCGTAATCTCGCATAAACTGAAAGGAGCATAAACTGAAATTAGAAAGCAGTAGAAGCACAAAACTAGCTGAAAAAAGCACAACACAGCTGAAAGTAGCTGAAAAAAATTTTAGCACAAGGAATCTGAAAGAACAGAACAAAATGTGAAGGGAGCAGTAAAAGGTTGTAAACGGATCTAAAGATTTGAAGGATGTAAAATGAGCTCCATTCATTTCCTATGAGAAAAAAAAATGCAGAAAAAGCTAAATATTTCTAAAAGCTAAAGTTGCACGATACCAAAAGTCATAGCAGCTGAAAGCTGAACGTTTTGATAAATTTGTTGAAATGACACAAAAATTGTGGAATGAGAAAGATGCAAAAAAAATAAATAAATAAATAAATAAATAAGAACGGAAGAAATTGGATCACAGTGTGGATGCTTCATAAACATTCACGCGTCACTAACTGCACAAAACCAGTCAGACTGGACCCCTGGAGTTCACCCACGGGCCCCCAGGGGTCCCTGAACCCCACTTTGGCCAACCTTCTGCTGCTGGTTGCAAGTTACACCCACTCCTCCTATTCAGCCTTCATGCTCGGGAGTCAGCAACACAGTTTGTCTTCTTGCACAGTTAGTTAGGAGGAGAACAGACTTTGTTCAAGTTCAAAACTAAATCGTCCAAAAGAGAGAACGAATGTTGCGTTCAGGGACACGACTCGACAGGACAAGACGCACGATAAGGACCAATAAATCAGGTAAAACGACGCATTTAAACCCCCAAAAGAAACCGATTTAATCCCCGTTTTTTTTCCAACGCCAACTAACTGTCTTTACAGGATGCACTGGTTATTCTTCTCCAGTTTAAGCCTGCTTGTAAGTACTTTTTGTTTCGCATGTCGGCAAGCTTCGAAGATTTTGCCAAGTTTTTCCTCCCTTTTATTTCCCACGTGTTTTTATGCCTACACTGAATAACCCTGAATTTTATCTCTATAAACTGAGGTGATAATTTGTTGATAGTTTAGCCAACCTTTTCCTAAAGCTATAATTGTTTTGATTCATATAATCCTTAAAAAAAAAAAAAAATCTAATAAGTTGAAAGAGGAGGCTGTCATACAATAAACGCAGGTGTATTCAATTTTCGTTAATTAGTTAATTATCTAATTCTGCACGTGCATTGTCTTTACAAATGAACTAAACTCATATTTGTGTTTTAGGTTTGGGATCCCAGCTTTTTAGGAGGTGAGTAATACTGACACAGTTGTTTTTAATTAATAATAACCAATATATATTTAAGCTATTTACATGGGATTTTGGTTGGCAATCACAAAGATGCTCCAAACTAAGCGTGGCTAAGTGCTAGTTTTACAGTAATTAAATATTTGTGGAGTAATTCTACATCATGTTTATATATATATATATATATATATATATATATATATATATATATATAT